GTGGTCTAAAATCGATAAGAGTAGGCTTCGGCCGTCACCCGGGCAAAATTCAAAATTTCCTACCAGCTGAAAAAGTTTAGTGTGTCCCGCGCGCTCATATGACCCTATGCAGTTGCGAGCGCCGCAAAACACTTACAAAAACAAACAAACAAAGATATCCTAGATCAGACACTGTCAATGTCATGGCCAACCACAGAATTTCCAAACGATTTCTCTTTCCTGACCTAGAGATTTATTGGATCATTGTCTCAACTTGAGAGCCGGGAGTGAAAAAAACCCGTTATACGTAGCATTAAGGTGCTAGGTGTGTAGCGTCTGTGATCAGATAAATATGTTACATTGTTCCAGGACCTTTTTAACCCCATTCAGTCAGGTCTTTCTTGGTCTTCCTCTTGATTTGAAGCCGTGTTCTCGGGTGTTGTAAGCTCTAGCCGCTACATGTAGTTGTTTCAGGGACATTTTGGTTAGATGTTCATAGCATTAATTGACTTTTTGACGCTCTATGAATTTTCTTACTGATGGTATTCCGGTTTGTAGACGTATGGTTTCGTTTCTTATGCGGTCTCTTCTGGCGACGTTGATGGTTTTTTGCAGAGACGCCTCATTTCGCATGCATTGACTTTTCTTTTTTTTGTGCCTTGTTCAGAGCCCATGTTTGGAACTGTAGATCTACTTGTATATTAATCCCCAGAAAAGCCTGCAAGCCTCCGTTCCTCAATTCGCCGTTCCTCAATTCGTCGTTCCTCAAGGTAGGGCCAGACCTGCTAGCGTGCCCACCCTACACCCCAGCGTCAACGTGGTCAAATCCTACCCTAGAGAAGAGCTCCCGTACAAGGATTGCGTTCCTTTGCCGCGCTCGCCCAATCCTGACGTGAAGATATGTGTGTACCCCAAACAGGACGATATCTACGTCTCCAAAACTCTGAAGGTGAATGGGTGGTTGGCGGGTGCTCTGGCGTGGTTTGCTTACTCCTTTTGTCCTATAACCAACTGGCTATCGCCCTCAAATGGTCGCTTTTAAGCACAAGGGGGCTTGCCCGAAAAATGCTGTTTTGAGAAAATTGAAGGTAAAGTTTTTGCCCCTTGTTCAGTTTCTTTAAAAGACAAGGAGAGATTTCTCTATAACCAAACAAATATACACACCAATGAAACCAAACTTCTCCTATAGTTAGGGCAATGCCCACTTTTGGTGTAGGTCAAGATTTCTGGAAATCCCTGAAATCTGGGTTAGCCCGCTTGTCCTTTAACTCCACCATATTATCTCCTCCTCCTTATTTTTATTCGAGACTTTCTAGTCGCACCAGCTCTATTTTTAAGCTCATGTATGACCTTTTCGTGTATTTGTATTGCAAACGCCGTAAAACTCTTTCTAGTGGGTGGTTGGCGGGCGCTCTGGTGTGGTTTGCTCCTTCTTTCACATCAAACATCTATCGTCTATATTTCCCCTCTTTCTTTTGTTATGTTTGTTACTCCCTTGTATTTGTAACACCTCTAATCTTCTGGCGCTCATATGACCTTATGCAGTGGTGAGCGCCGTAAAACCTCTACTAAAACAAACTCTTTCTATAAATAGATTTAACGAAGATGTTTCGTTGTAGGTGGTTGGAGGGCGCCACAGGCAGATATTACATCTCTACTTTTCCTCTTTTATTTTCCTGTCTGTCTTTCAATTACAACGTGCATCTCTGTAATAACGGCAGAGAAAGGCCACGAAAAAGGTGGATCGAGGGTGTCAAGGAAACACTAGGAAAACATAACATCACAACTGAAAGAGCTGCGGAGCTGACCTACCAGAGAAAACTGCATCTCCCCTCGACGCTTAACAGCATCAGAGGATGAAAGTGTAAAAGTAAAAGTTTCGCTGGTAAAGTTCATCTCTCTAACAACACGAACGCTAAGCAAAATCTATAACGTAGTATAACTCATGTCTCTTAGGCGGAAATAAATATGTGAGGCATCGTGGTGGAATCAGGCTCTGGTCAAAATTATCAAAATGTAGAAACTTGCATTTTTCCACAGGTTTGTGAATTTTTATCACATTTTTGTTTTTTTAGCTCAACACCTGCTATGCCATATTAAAAAACTAATTTCTGTGTGGATTTTTCTGAAAAATGTTGATTAAAAGCACAAACATTTTTAATTTTCTGTTACCACCGACTCTTAAGCTAATGAAATAACTCATCTTTAGCGGCCATTTTCTCACTAATTTTACCTCTGAAAAAGGTAACCCCACT